GGATTTGGTAATGTTAGCAAGCATACTCAAGACATGCCCGTAGCCAGGATTTTGGAATCGGGGGGGGGGTCGTTCCCACTGCTTGAGGGGACCTCGAGCGCCGTAGGGGGTCATATTGAAAAATGAACCTTCTAAAACGGCATTTCGTGCATTTTTGAGGGGATTTCCAAGAAAAAATCAGAGATAAATTTTTATTCAATGACAAAGGGAGCAGTTTTTCAACAATTCCAGTCCATGGACCTTTACATAAAAAGTGGACCAAAAAGTGGACCTTTCAGCCTTGTGGGGGGGGGGGGTTCTTCCGAACCCCCCGAACCCCTGGCTACGGGCATGCAAGAAAAAAGGCTAGCTCCCAGGCTACTAGAAAAAAAACATGGACCACCTGTGTGCATGTGGCCAAGTTTCAATAAACACAACAACACAAGAATGCTACAATCTGGGACCCAACTTTGACCTTTTGAGGAAAAGAAGAGATTTAATCCATGAAACTTGTAAACATGAACACTGTAAACATTTACATCAACATATTTGCATGAAGGTGATACCAATTCGCCATCATTACATGATCAAACACAGAACTATACAGTCAAGTACAATTACCCTCCAGATTTTGTTTCCCAAACAGCTATATATAAACATACACGCAAATACTTTCTACAAATCTAAAAAAAAGTTTAAAACAGTAAAATAAAAAAAATGAATTATATGTCATTATGATTAAAAATAAAAATTGACAAACGTGATATTAAGAGTTAAAAATGCAAAGTACACAGAACAGGAAGTGGCCCCCAACTAGCATGGTGAAACAGGAAATAGGTCTGTGTGTGACTGATAACATACAAAACCAGACAAGTTCCCGTTCCCAAGCTAAAAATATCCCCAATCTCTCCAGCCAAATCCCACTTCCTGTATTGCAAAAAAAAAAAAAAAAAGATAAAACGCCCATCAAGTCCAATGTTGGACAATGAACTGTGATATTATATTAAAAACGTACATGATTTCCTCTACGGGCCTCTACTTCTTTCTGAACTTAAACTGATTGTTGGAAGACAAATTTCAGAAAATGCTCTAGATATTATCAGCAAACTACTGTTCCAAGGCAAGCTGTACATGAAGAAAATTTTACATTTTTACATGACTTTTATATTTGCACTTATCCCATGGAATCAAACCATGTGTCTTATACAGTGGACTGTTAGAACAATAATAGAACAATCCTGCACTCAAACCCTGCAAACATTTGCAATGGGTAGTATCATACACAGATTACTAGTGGCATCTTTTAACAATGTTAAACAAGAACCTTGCTACTAGGAAGACTTGCTTGTGTAGTTAAAATTGACTTGACCATGTCTCAATGATATGTTCTGACACCCTTATGTGCTACAGTTAGGGTTTGGGTTGTTGGAACATATCTTGAGTTGTCAGAATGTAAGGTATGTTGGAACAAAGGTGTGTAACAGGCTTAAGCAGACTAAAGCTTGATTTTGATTTTTTAATTCTATTACATAGTACTATATTGTCCTGCTTTCTTTATAAAACATGTACATGTAGCATTACACCATAATTGCTAAGATATGGAACATGAAAATCTCAGTGTTTTTTGGTTATGTGTTGTGTTATTGTAAGAGTTGTTAATGGTGTCTACTTGATTTAGCTACCGTGAATTTTTGGAAACAAAGAACAGCTTTTTATATGGAACTGCTATTTAGCTATCTTTAAAATCATTAAAGCGATACATTGCCTTGTTGTTGAGAATGAGAATATGAGAAAAATAAAACAAGATGCCAAGTTAATGCCTGGGAAAATGACATTCCTAGCTTTTTTAATAGTCTAGATGAAGTCTAAGTACACTATGTTTAAAGTTAAAACTTTTGGTCCAACACAAAAAATTCTCTCACCTAGAGCTTTCAACCAGTCACTCTGGTCTTCCTCAGTAGACTGAGGATCTGGATCAGGTGTATCTGGTAGACGATGTCGGCCCCCGTCACGGTTCAATGTAGGGTGATGGACCCTGATGTATACACCCTACATTGAACCGCGACGGGGGCTGACATCGTCTACCAGATACCTTTGACCCAGTGTTGACGTCACACTTCAAAGAAGCCACGTGACAAGCTTCACTCGGTCAGTCTACTGAGGAAGACCAGAGTGACTGGTTGAAAGCTCTAGGTGAGAGAATTTTTTGTGTTGGACCAAAAGTTTTAACTTTAAACATAGATGAAGTCTAAGTACACTACATGCTGTCCTTGAGTGCCTTGTTGAGTTTGTCCACGATGATGTTGATGTCTTGGTTTCTGTCCATCTTCAGAAAAGTACCTTTACTGATCTTCACAACCGACAGCCAATCAGGAGCCAGCTCTGTCAGCAGTTTCAGGTGGGCCTCCGACTCACCTGGAGTAAAGATCAACAAGGAGTTAATAAGGGTCTGTTTCTTCCCATAAGGCCACACCAATTTAATTTCTTGGCTAATGGATTTTTCAAGAAAAATAATGGAGCGGGCGGGTGAAAAAAAACAAAAATAAAAACAGGCCTAGGCATCCTATTTATGGCCCAAAATAGTACCAAAAGCTGTCTAGAACTATAACTATGTCCAAAACTCAGAAGGGTTTGACTTCTCTTCTGTAAACCATGAAAGACGTAATGTCCCACCTTTTCCAAAATTTGTGGGTTTTGGGAAGTTAATAGAAGAATAGTTTTTTCTTGGTCTGTAAATTTAGAGAAATTGGGATAAATAATTGCAGAAGTTTGAATTAATAGTCAATTCATTTCGAGCGTTGTTACGGAATGAACAGTTTGAAATAAAATGTATTTCGTCTTCCACAGCCTTTGCACTAAAATATTTACAAATTCTTTCACATATCCTAAGGCCACAGCAAGTAATTTTTATGGATGATATCAGCGTGCGCATTAATTTTCGACTGATTTGGGGAAAAAAAGAAATTTTGTTGCCCTCTGATAGTGGTCAACATGCCGAAAATGGACAAAAATGGCATGTCTTGCCATGCCGGAACATGGATGGCAGATAAATATGATGAGAGAAGACAAAACAAGGCTCTGATTTATTGTTTTGACTTTTACTTTGATGCAGTGATGTATTTCATTCCTTTTTTTTATATGTTCCCACTGAATCAAAACCATTTGCACAATGATTGAAAGCTTTTATTTTTCGAAGTTGTTTCAGTGACAAATGGATGTTGTGATAGTTGGCAGTAAAGTTAACACAGTACAAAATGTATATGTGTCATTTCTTGTTCAACAAGGTTTTTAATATCAAAACTCGAAAATGTAGGAATTTTGTTTTTTTTTGGGAACCCGCCTTGTTTTTCTTCGCCCGCTCACATGGTGTCTGCGGAGGATGTCATCCATACAATTTACTTGCTGTGGCCTAAATGTAGTGCTGAACATACCGGTTCACTGGACTTGGACCCAGACTTGTTTAGGTTCAAGTCCAAGAAAACCTAAAAGTCAATAACCGAGTCCGGACTTAGTACCATAAAAGACCATTTCACATACCCCTTTTCTTTCCAAATCACCTAAAACCTTCCGTAGATTGTAAAATCTTTACTTCAAAATGAAGAAAACATTGCCATCGGGCATCATCAAGTGTCGGCCTGCATGTTATGTGGCCAAAGTTTCACCCAGACAACATTGCAAGGTTGCCAACATGCAGTTTTGTATAATGTCATGGGTTTAGGTTCGGACTTACAAGTCTGGAACTGAACCTAAACCTCTGGACTTGAATCCGGACCTGAACCTAAATGTGGGTTTAGGTATGCAGCACTACCTAAATGAATAAAAAACCTAAACAGAAAACCTACTTGATGACAGGACTGATCGGTAGCTCTCCGACATCTTCTTGACGGCGGACTCGATGGGGACCGCCGGCTTCTTCTCCGTCACGAAGAACGTCCTCAAGATTCGCGCCAGGTCGGGCAGACGTCCAATCATGGCCGTTCTCCTGTCCTGGTCGGCATCTCTGGTCATGTACTTCTCAGCCTTGGCAGCCTCCTTAGCACGGATCTATAGTCAATTCACAGTATATACATTTTATATACAATCATGTAAGTTTGATAGGTAAATGAGTTACTGAAGCAAGTCAAGTAGCATCTTATGCTGAGGTCACATTTCCAAACCGGGGCCCGGCCGGGCAGTCTTATGGAACGAAAAATATGGTACATTGTATAAAACACAACAAGGCACAAAAAAGTTTTTTTAAATAAATGATAAAAGTATTTGCGTAATATATTCTTGATAAAAATTGTTTATTATTCGTTAATCTAAACAGCCCGGCCAGGCCCCGGTTAGGAAATGTGACCTCGGCATTACCTGCACTGGTCCATGTAATAGGGTTATACAATGTACATACAAGAAATATTTTCTTGTGGACAGAATCGTTTTCTTGTTACAGCAAGAAAATTCAAGAAACACAATGTCATGTGTTTCTCGAATTTTCTTGCTACGGGGATTCTTTTATTTCTTGTTCAAAGAATGATTTTCTTCCTACAAGATACCATTTCTTACTGCAAGAAAAACAAGGGAAATCGTAGATTCCAAACCTCCGGGTTTTTTTGTGTTCTATTGGTTTAGGTTATTTGTTTGTGTGTAGTATGAAAGTTATGTGCGTAATATGTTTGTATGTGTTTGATGGCTACTGACGGTTGGTTCGGTATGGACTGTTGATTAACGTGTCTCACAGTCTGACAGCCTGCACCGTCACCCGCGCCATTACCCCCGCCGTCATCCCGCGCCGTCATTGCTGCGCCGTCACCCAAAATTTTTATCGGAACCAGACACCCCTCTGTTTGACCCCTTTTGAATGCTAAGACCCAAAACTGCAACCGCCCCATTCCTTAACAACATGGTAATTACCATTTTCAGCATGGCGGGGGTGTCCGGAGCACTTAAAAACCTTTTATTTCGACGCCCATAAACACATATGCAATTAAACAAAAACGTTCTGCATCATCTGCAGCCCAATAGCAATACGTATACCGAACCACAGACAAATCCGTCCAGCCGATCGCGAGAAACAGCTGCTGACAGAAATGTTTCGAACCATAGTAAAACCTCCTCGCGGAAGGATATCTCCTTCCCCGGAGGTAACAAGAAAAAGGCATTTTTGGTTGACACCTACCCTCTCCAGTAGACTGAGTTTGGCACCCTTGTTCCCAGAGGTGGAGCCATCAGCAGATGTAGTGTTGGGTTTGGGCTTCTCTGTCTCCTTGGGTGAGAGCTGTGCAACCTTCTCTAGAGCCTTCTGCACCTGCATTGCAAATTGAACATAGTCTGGTATTAAATGCTTGATTACCTGCCCCACCTTGTGGTAATTCCTGGAACTACAGAATACAGTTACTGTAGTAGAAATTCACATTACAATCATTATAATGGTAGACATTCTGTCAAGTATTTGAAGTTGTTGCTTATTTTCATTTATTCTAATATTTGTATATAATATGTAGTTAAATTCTGGTTTCGCCTGATCCAATTGGATACAACTTCACACCCCCTTCAAAGGGACGCAATACTCTTACAACAAAGCCTTCCCGACAAATATCCGTAGACGAACTTTACTTCAACGTGTTAAAGACATATTAGATCATAATGGATACTCCTTTATGTGGCATTCCGAAAACTCACGTTGTGATCCTGAACATGTTGTGAAAATGCTGAGAAGGAGACTTACAGATATGCATATACAAACATTTTTTCATATAATGTCAACTGAGAGTGGTAAGTTAAGATTTTATGCAAAATGTAAAACTATGTACAACATAGAGCGATAATTTTTTTATCTTAATCTTGCAATCTTGCAGACTTCCAACTACGCTCAGCCATTAGCAAAATTAGAGTTAGCGCCTATCCTCTGGAAATAGAGAGAGGCCGATATAGAAGACTACCTGTATGTGAAAGAATTTGTAAAAATTGTAATGCAAAGGCTGTGGAAGACGAAATACACTTTATCTCAATTGTGCATTCTTGCTGATTCTGTAGATGTTCCACTCCCATTCTTCCTAGCCTGCAGGGAGACCATTTTGTTATCCAATTTGACCTTCCTGTCAGTCAACAGTTACACCATTCCCCCTCACTTCCTTTAACTCTAATGTATTCAAATAACTGCAGAAACACGAGCAAAAAACAAAGAACAAATCCCCATACATGGTGAAACAAGTCTCAAGTAAGCAAATCTGTGTCAGTTATTTCTAGTGCTGCATACCAGTTCACTGGACTTGGATCCGGACTTGTAAGATTGTTTAGTTTCAGGTCAAAAAAAAAACTAGGAGTCTGGACTTATTACCATAAAAGACTATTTCACATTACCCCTTTTCTTTCCAAACCACCTAAAACCTTCCGTAGATTGCAAAAACTTTGCTGCAAAATGAAGAAAACATTGCCATCGGGCATCGAGAAGTACCCGCCTGCATGTTATGTGGCCAAAGTTTCACCCAGACAACATTGCAAGGTTGCCAACATGCAATTTTGTATACGCCATGGGTTTAGGTCCGGACTTACAAGTCTGAACTGAACCTAAACCTCTGGACTTGAATCCGGACCTGAACCTAAATGTGGGTTTAGGTATGCAACACTAACTCCAATGTATCCAAATAACTGCAGAAACACAAGCAAAAAACAAAGACAAAATCCCCATACATGGTGAAACAAGTCTCAAGTCAGCAAATCTGTGTCAGTTAATTTTTTTTCAACAGAGTCCCTTAGGCCACACCAATTTAATTTCTTGGTTAACGGATTTGCCGGCTTCATTTTGTCTGATTTGCAAAAAAAATTCAGCATCAACAGTACTGCAAAATGCTCATATTTTGCCCTGAACAGTTGAAAACAGTCCTTTTTTCCCTAGTTGTTACAGTTATGCCATGTTTCAATGCAGTGGCATCATTAAAAGTTTAAATTCATTGTTTGAATTTTGAGCCAGCCTGGTGTGTTGACTTCATGGCTCCTATCATACCATTTTGGGCTATAATAGGATGCCTAGGCCTGTTTTATTTTTTTTTTCGCCCGCCCGCTAAATTATTTTTCTAGAAAAATCTGTTAACCAATTGCAACAAATTAAATTGGTGTGGCCTTACCCTCGGTAGGATTTTCCCCCTGGCCTGGTCCAGGACGTCTTGAGCGGTGGCGTACTTCTGGACATCAGGTGGCCGAGGCAGCGGTGATGGCTCGATGTCCGGTACGGTGTCCAGCGGGAACTTGGGGTGCCACTTGGTCAGCGCAGTGTCCGACACGGACGGGGAGGGGGCTAGGTTCTGGATAAACCTCTGTACATGGCAGTGAGGGAAGCAATGTAAAAATGGTCAGCTAGTACACTACCAAAAATGCTTTTTCTTGTTTTTCCTTGTACAAAGAAAATCTATCTTGTAGCAAGAAAATTATTCTTTGAACAAGAAATTAAAGAATCCCAATAGCAAGAAAATTAAAAAAACGTGTTTCATGAGTTTTCTTGAGTTTTCTTGCTGTAGCAAGAAAACGATTCTATCCACAAGAAAATATTTCTTGAACTAAGTGCTAACTGTTCTTGAAGCAAGAAAACCATTCTATACACAAGATTTCTTGTAGCAGAAAAAATACTGTGAACTTTCTTAAAATTCTAAAGATTCTTGTTGGTGAGCATGATAGTAGAAAATTTAATGTTTTCTTTTCTGAAGACAAACTTTCAAAGACAAACTTTTAGATTTCTACAGTGTTTCCATGAGAGTAAGTCCCAGCAAAAATAAATGAATTTACAGTACATAAGACATCAACCAAGAAGATCACCAAGCTACAGCAACAAAAAAACATTTTCCTACGCATCTTCATTCCAGTGATTCAAATTATTGACACTCTTATGAAGCCTTTTAGAGGTCTTACTCTAAAATCAGTACAGGTCTTTAATATCAGTTTAGGTCTTTAAATATCAGTATAGGTCTTTACTATCAGTATAGGTCTTTATGAATTAAACAAAAATAAACAAACAAATGGCGATGCCTACCCTGTGGTGTTCCTTCACAATGTTGACCAGATTAGTCTGGAAGATGTACCTGCGGTTTATCAACTGTGAGGATGAGAAAGACACCCTAGCCCGGGGAGCAGGCTTTCCCGAGGCTCTTGATTCTGTGCTGGGCTGTCCGTCCAGGTTGGCCTGCACAGTGAGCTGATACTGAGTCTTCTTCTCTCCTTGGTTCCGACAGAACTGGCTGACTTTCTCTTGGCGGAAGACATAGGCTGACGGGAACACGGTCTTTATTTGGCCCATGTGGTGTTTCTCAAACTTCCTATGTAGCAAATATGGGATAAAAAGTTACATGCAGGTCTACCACGCCAACACTATTCAAGAACATCATAAACGACATGATAACTCACAAGACAGATACATACAAACCCTTAAAGCACTGGTGGTAAGGTACTGGCACAAGCATGAAGTTGTATATATTATCATGGTATGCGACCTCTGACCTCCCTAAATAAACAAATAAACAAAAAACTACAGACACATGCACAAGCAAAGAAACAGACAACGTGACATTATAGTGGTGCATACCGGTTCACTGGACTTGGATCCAGACTTGTAAGAATGTTTAGGTTCAAGTCCAAAAAAAACTGAAAGTCAAGAACCGAGTCCGGACTTATTACCATGAAAGACCATTTCACATAGTTTTTTTTTACCCCTTTTCTTTCCAAACCACCTAAAACCTTCCGTAAATTGCAAAAACTTTGCTGCAAAATGAAGAAAACATTGCCATCGGGCATCGTCAAGTACTGGCCTCCATGTTATGTGGCCAAAGTTTCACCCAGACAACATTGCAAGGTTGCCAACATGCAATTTTGTATTATGCCATGGGTTTAGGTCCGGACTTACAAGTCTGGAACTGAACCTAAACCTCTGGACTTGAATCCGAACCTGAACCTAAAATTGGGTTTAAGTATGCACCACTACTTGACAAGTCAACAGAAAGAGTCAGAAAGGCTGCATACTTGCGGCACATCTCCTGTACTGCGTTCTTCAGCTTCTGGAAGGTGGCCAGCTCCTCCCTGTTATGCAGTATACTGACCACTGTGTCCATACTGCGGAACATCTCCCCCAGCAGCCTGTACTGGTACGGCAGGCCGAGGGAAGCCGGCGGGGGCGGGACGGGAGTGGCAAGGTGGTGGTGTCTCTCATAGGCCGGCGCCACCTGGTGATCACTGCGAAAATTGCAGGGTTGGACAATCATGTAAATGCATTTAAGGCGGCACAACACAGTTCTAGCCCTATGGGGATTTCTATAGTTAAGGTCTGGACCCCAAAGTGACTCTCTTTGACTCAGTGAAAATCATAGTAGGGTGCACAAGCAAGGTTCAGATTTTTGATATGTTTAATTTCAGGGTATAGTGTACATAATATGTGAAAATGAGCTTAGATTTGCCGGCTAGTTTTTTTCTCATGCCCTCTTTTATTAGCACCACTGCGGAGGTCATGGAACTGCAGCCGACGCACAGTACTAGGCGGGACAAGTGTCCAAGCGCAAATCTACGCCGACTAAACACGCACCATAATCCAACTTTTACAGTCTCAAAACTGACGTATTCCTCTAACATTTACCACAGGTTCTATCTCGATGCCATGCACAGAACAATCTCTGCACCTTTCTCTAGTATTGTGCAGCACTACTTTGTGCCCAGACTACTTTTGACCACAGGGTTGCCCATATTAAATACTGTGTTGTGTGGCCTTAAGAGAAGGTAGAACCCAAGAGTTCACACTACCTGAAAAATTCTGATTTTGTATATACAAGACAATAGCACTAACCTAATGAGAGACAAAATATATGTTTGTGATATTAAAACTGCTGACCTAAAAACACTAGTCTACAGTGTTCGTGTTCTGTGAAATATGATGCATTGTAAGGAAGAAGCACAGTCTGTAAAGCATTGAAACAATGGAATAGCAAAACTACACTTATGAGTGACATCTAGCAGATCGCATGAGTACTGCAGCATTTCATTTCAAACAAACTTTTGTGTACATTCTGAATTTGTAATTTTAGCTGATGCTACCATTTGCTGACTTGGTAACTTGTAAGTGATGCATACCTTAACCCAATTTTAGGTTCAGGTCCGGATTTAAGTCCAGAGGTTTAGGTTCAGTTCCGGACTTGTAAGTCCGGACCTAAACCCAAGGCATTTACAAAATTACATGTTGGCAACTTTGCAATGTTGTCTGGGTGAAACTTTGGCAACATGGAGGCCGGTACTTGACAATGCCTGATGGCAATGTTTTCTTCATTTTGCAGCAAAGATTTTGCAATCTACGGAAGCTTTTAGGTGGTTTGGAAAGAAAAGAGGTATGTGAAATGGTCTTTTATGGTAATAAGTCTGGACTTAGTTCTTGACTTTTAGGTTTTTTGGACTTGAACCTAAACATTCTTACAAGTCCGGATCCAAGTCCAGTGAACCGGTATGCATCACTACTTATAAGAAAGACAAGGAATGTAATGTTTAAGCTTCAAGAAACTTTATATAAAACCAAATGTTTAGATACAATGTTTGTTTGTTTGTTTGTTTGTTTGTTTGTTTGTTGATGCGTCATATCGTACCTTTCTTCAGTTGTTTCCTTGCTTGAGCTTGCCTGCACCTGTTTGGACTTGTCGGCTCTAAGTTTTTCTGCGGTTTGCTGAACAGCCTTCATGTGTTGTTGGAGAGAGGACAGCTGTCCAGACTTGATCAGCTTTTCTCGCAACTGGAGTAACGAACAACAGGGCAATCAGAGATGGCAGACTTCACCACTTTACCATTTCCAGTCAGGCCACACCAAGTAAATTTTATGGATGATGTCCACGCGCGCATTGTTTTTGGCATGTTCCTAGAAAAAAACCCAAGAAATTCTGCTTCCTGTAACTATAACCAAAGAGTCATGACAGTGTCGCAAATCGTCAGATTTACGTGAAACCCGTAACGTGAAGAAAGTGTCTATTACCATTCTGTTTCACTGTTCACTGTTCCACCTGATTTATTGCTGTTTTGATGATGAATAAAAGACTTCTTGCTTGTTACACTGTGTCACCTCATTCAATTTGTGTCCTGACATTTGTTGTCTCTTAGTATATTTCTAATCTGTTTTTAGGGCCCTACTTGTTTTTTTTCGCCCTCTCGCATTAGATTTAGGGTCTCCAAAGGACGTCATCCATAAAATTTACTTGGTGTGGCCTCACACAAATATAGCAACTCTCACAACAGGGCTCGAAATACTGGGTGCATGTGTGCTTAGTGCACCCAAAATTGGAGCTGCGCACCCAATTGTTTTCTATGGGTGCACCAGTGCACCCAAATACTTTTGTAGGTATTTTTGTACATATCAACTGTATAATACTATGCAGGGTATTGTTGGTGTCTAAGTGTCAGAAAAGAATAAAATCTTTGTTGAAGTACTTATTTTGATTTTGAAGTTAGCTCTCAAATGAATATTCAGATTCAAACTTGTGGGGGCACTAGCGAATGAAGTTCCACAGAGCATTTACCATGGAAGTAGCGATAAAATAACGCTTGGCTTGCAACATTACGCCTATGTGAGAGTGGTTGTAGGGTGGCCAACAAGTCACTCCCAATACCGTGCCCTTGGACAAATTGGATAACAACCCACTGCCCCTATGACCTCCAAAAGGTCATGGGATGTCAACTCTACATAACGACATGCACTGAGTTTCTTTTGTGGTTCACAGCGAATCCCACCAGACCTTGCAAAGGCAGCCCCCACAGATGTATTATAGATTTCTACATCTCCAGCGTGACATCCATGTTTCATTGCTTTGACCTTAGCCCTTGAGCCGGGACTCTAGACAAATCAAACAGGGCTGATTGGGCGTCCAAAACTTTAAATTGCGAACTGACTGCCCACGGCATATCCTGGAATATTGTGTTCCTAATCAGCTTCTGAGAAACTGTAAGGACACATGGGCTGATTCTGTGAACTCAATCAAGTTTGCAGAATGGCAAGGCCGTACTACAATGCAAGTTCTTGGTTCTTAGATTTGTCCACATTTTTTCTGACTTGGAAAAAACATGTACATCTACCATTCAAGTTTTGCAAGTTTTTGGTTCTTAGATTTTGTCCACAGTTTTTTCTGACTTGGAAAAAACATGTACATTTACCATTAAAGTTTTGAATTAACTCCTAGGGCAAGGCCATACTACAATCCAAGTTCTTGGTTTTTAGATTTGTCCACATTTTTTTCTGACTTGGAAAAAACATGTACATCTACCATTCAAGTTTTGAATCAACCCGCATGGCAAGGCCATAGTACAATGCAAGTTTTTGGTTCTTAGATTTGTCCACATTTTTTTTTTGACTTGGAAAAAACAAACATGTACATTTACCATTCAAGTTTTGAATCAACCCCCAGGGCAAGGCCATACTAGAATGCAAGTTCTTGGTTCTTAGATTTGTCCACATTTTTTCTGACTTGGAAAAAACATGTACATCTACCATTCAAGTTTTGAATCAACCTCCAATCAACCCCCAACTCCCAGAAATTCCTAGAGGAGAGGTGCTCCCTGATCAGTTGATGAAAAAAATTAGCAAATTTTCATATAGATACTACATTTTGAAAGGGGTGCTAGGACTTTGAGGGGAGGGGGAGCACATTGGGGAGAGCCCTGAACATCCCTAACCCTAAAACTTTAGTGGATTGATATCAAATTCAAAGAAAAAAAGCCCATTGACTGACAATCAGCTAGTACTGTAATTCACTTTATGTTCACAGTAGCAAAAGTTCAGAAAAATGGACATGTTCACAGAACTATCATTCACGGTGGTGACAGGTGCAGGAAAAAGAAAGTCCAGGAATTATTGTGAGGTTCACGGTACAGAAGTGACAGTGAAAACAGTGAACATAACAGTACAGTGAAAAAATCAGGAATAATTAAATTAATTTACAGTAATCATAATGTCCATACCTCGGCACGTGTCATGGTCTTCTCCTTAGCCTTGACCTTGGCGGCTTCCTCCTTCACACGGGCTAGTCTTTTCTGAAGTTCAGTCACACCAGACGATCGTTTACTCCCCGTCTGTGACTTCAGAAAGGAAACAAACACAAGACTGGATAAGTGCACGAATAAAAGCTCATCTATGTTGGTAGAATAGTTTGTTTGTTTCGCATAACAGGTAAACCGCCTTTAGGTGTAACACACCAGTTTTGTACATGTAAGCAGGGTTCTAGCTAGGATTTTATTTTAGCGTAGTGGTACCTGACGCACGTCGAGGGAGCGAAGCGACCGAGAGGGGGGATGGGGCGGAAGGGGGGATGTGCCCCCCTTCCGCGGTGCGGAGCTTTTAAAAATTTAAGCTTAAAAAGCAGCCATTTGAGGGATACCCAAAGGGAAAAAATGTCATTTCTAAGGTATGTACAATGTATCCTTGATTAGTAATTTTTATATTTTTGCAGCTTGGAATCTTCACAAAATACAGAAGATACTCCAAATCAGACACAACCAAGAACAGACTCTGAGATAAATTAAATGTTAAACATAGCATCTGGTGTGCAAAGTTGTAATATTCTACATGACAAAAAAAGTAACTATAAATAATATAAGAAATACGTCTGTTTTGCCTGCTAATAGTGTCTCATTATGAGGCACTTTTAATCTCCTTTGTGCCATTTCTGTTCTGCAAAATTGGGCCGGAATTTGACGTGATTCAACACGTGGCTTTGTTGTTATTGCCAAGCTTTGATGCTGACATGATTACAGGCACACCCAGTATGTCGACATAGATCGCACAGTAGCTAAGAGCATGAAATCGGCATGGCACCAGCACTGACGCATATGTGGCAGGAAAACCCACGTGTGTCACAAAGATCACAAACGCCCGTAAAGAAAAACGGCAAAAATTTGACAAGAGAGCAATAATTTGTATTTACTTGTTTAAACTATGAACGGATCCAAGGGGTGAACTCCCTTGTTTAGTTTACTAAAGTGGCAAATTTTCAACCAACGCAAGTTTGCCGCTGTGGGCTTTAGAGGCCCCTCCCCTTTTCGGGAGCCGGCTGGAACTGTAAAGCACTTTAATCATTAGGCTGGTGACTAAGTACATTGTAACTCTTTGT